CACGCAGGAGGGAAGGCTGTCACCTTATAAAGGTTGTGACCAAAAATTATGTAAATAGAACAACAATTTATATTTTAAATTTAATTAAAAAAAATGTTTACACGCGTGCAATGCGCGACATCATATGATGTCGTTCTTCAATTTGTCCTTACTTTTAACGTCATATGACGTCGCTAGATTACATTAGATCATGCAGGAAGGAAGGCTGTCTCCTTATAAAGGTGGTGACCAAAAATCATGTAAATAGAACAACACAACTTANTTTTTAATATAATATTAAAAAAACCTTACACGCGTGGAATCCGCGACATCATATGATGACGTTCGGCCAGCTGCCCTTACTTTTAACGACATCATATGATGACGTTCGTCCGATAAAGGTTAATGATGATGACATAATCTACATCACTATCTAATGATGATGCAGTCTCAAAAACATTTTAACAAAGAATAAAGGGAACTGCAAGCACAGCATAATTCTGCCATATCCATTTTTTTCTAAATTAACTTGAAAACTGTGAGACTTGAACAAAAAGCATAACTGGGCATAACAAATTTCATTTTTTCCCAAAACACTCTGTTCCAATAACTATTTAGTGAGCTATAAGTGAGGTGTGTGCATAAATGCAGGTAGGTCTTTGTGTGAAGTGTTCACTATTGCTGTCTAATCTGAACCAACATATTTTAGTAAAAAATTAAATTCGCTAGGGGGGGTTGAGTCCAACTTGGTCCATTTGGCACAGCTGCCACTGATTGGCCTATTGTAGCCTGCCCCAGGTGATTATGATGATGGAAAATTTGGTGGAATGAAGATTGACAGGGAAAACTGAAGTACTCAGAGAAAACCTGCTCCAGCGTCTCTTTGTCAACCACAAATCCCACTTGACCAGAAGTAGGATCGAACCCAGGCCACCTCGGTGGGAAGCCAGCGACTAACCGCTTCAGCTATGGCGCGGCCATGGTGGATTTACTAAGTGTCATGTTGACTTGAAAAGATTCTGACGATGGTGTATACTGTACTTCTTTTGGACTTCACCCATTGTCTGGTATGTAAAAGACAAAAGACCACGACGTTTCAGAGACTGGATCTGTCTCCGTCTTCAGATGGATAGGGAAGGATAAACCTACTCAGTTGGGCCCGTTAGAAAGAGCTAGTCTCAATCAGTGGACCCTATCCACCTGAAGACGGAGACAGATCCAGTCTCCAAAACGTCGTGGTCTTTTGTCTTTTACATACCAGATGATGGGTGAAGTCCAAAATAAGCCAAAAGAAGCTGTCATGCTATTTCATATTGCTTGCTTACCTCTTTGGATGAAAAGAGTGCTAGCTTTGCTTTTGTTCCATCCTTAACCATCTGTGAAGGTGAACTAAAACCTTCAAAGCCATTCATTTTAACAGCTGAATTCTGAAAAAAATTATTTAACTATAAATACAAAAATTCAAGGTTCAATCTATCAGATGACGAAAGAATAAATACAAAACAGAAATTCACAACTTTAAAACGTCATCAAAATAATTACAAACTCCTTTATTAACACTATAGGCTCAACTGCCGGTAAAGATTGAAATAATAAATACAGATGGTAAAGTCCATATCTTTTCAACGAGCAGAACCCAAATTATATGTACAAAGAAAGCGAACACATAGTTCCATTAAACGTTCTTCAGATAACATAGTTTTTTCATTATTTACAATGAATAATAACAGCAAACACATAGAGAAAAAGCCTGGTTTACATTTCAGAAACTACAACTATGTCTGCTCTGGAAAAGTCATATAAAATGGTGGGTATTGAATTTACCTCGTCTGAGGGAAACAAAGCTAACTTTGCTTTTGTTTCTGTACTAACTGCATTCAATGGTGTTGAATTCTGATCAGCAGTTTTACTCTTCTTTGATGGCCTACTCTGTGAGGTTCGTTTTCGTTTATTTGCCTGGAAGAATACGAACACACGTCCAGTACCTGTTTCCTTTAACAGTCTTTATATATAAAAGTTCCAGAACCCACTATGGAACAGAATTTACCTTCCGAGGAGTTCCTTCTTCAGGTTCTTCAATGCTCTCAGGACCTGACACTTCATCAGAATCAATACCAGAACTTGCAGACTCTGATTGCTCATCAAGATCTTCCTTTTCTGGAAGTACTACACAATTAGTATGTTCATCCTATGCCTTGAAATACTATGTTCAAGACTTAATTCTGTATTACTTACTAGGTTTGTATTCATCCTCTGAATCCTCACTGTCCAATACAAGGATCCGTCTCCTCTTCTGTGGAATACTAGCATCTTCCTGAGCAACGCCTTGATTTCCCGTGTCCAGATCTACGTTTGAACAAATATGTTGCAACATTGTTTTTGATTTACATAAATGACCTACCCTTCCATATAACGGGGAAGTGGTGCTATTTGCAGATGATACCAGTATACTGGTAATAGAAAAGAACAAACCAGTATACTGGTAATAGAAAAGAACAAACCAGTATACTGGTAATAGAAAAGAACAAAAATATTCTTCAAGACAAAATAGATAAGGTAATGAAGCAACTCTAATCTTGGTTTTCAATTAATAATATGGTAATAAAAAATGAGAAGACTACAGCAATGTATTTCCATATGAACTATAAGATAGCATTGAGCCAGTAATTACCTTTAAAAATATAATAATTAATTATACAGCACAGTTTACGTTTCTTTGTATTAATTTAACCCACAAATTAAAATAGAACATTCATATTCAGTCAGTGTGTACAAAGCTCAGTAAGGTGTGTTACATTATTAAAGCTTTGAAAAGCGAAGTAAGCCCATATGTCCTTAGGAATGTGTACTTTGCTAAATTCAAATCTCAAATAAGTTATGGTTTGATATTTTGGGGGGAGAAAGTGAAAGTAAAAAAAAATCTGATCTTGCAAAAAAAGGGCTCTTCAAATAATGAAAGGGGTAACAAAAAGAACATCATGTAGACCTATATTTAGAGAATTAAAAATTTTAACGGTAACATCTTTGTATATTTTAGAGGTGTTACATTATTTCAAGAAATATAACATTTACACCACAAAAAACTCTGACCTACATAAGTATGACATGAGAAAGAAAGAAGACCTTCACAGGCAAAGTTATAATACCTTAACATATGAGAAGTGTGTTACAAATATGGCTATTAAGCTTTATAATAGACTGCCTTTGGAACTAAAAATGGTAAAAGCAGATAGAGAATTCCTACATAGACTCAAAAGATATTTACTGGAATACCCATTGTATAATTTGCATGAGTTCCTCTCAGATGGACAGTTAAACGAATAAGATTCTCCTTGATAAATAGATTTAAGTGTAAATAAAATGACTAGTAATTAGATGAAGTTTTTAATATGATTTAGCCTATAAATGGAATGGAAGTCTTAAAAGAGATTGCATTCCAAATTATTTAATCGTTATCTAAATTGAATTTTATCTTTTGTGGATTATTTTGATATAATAGGTTTTAAGTTTAAGAATATGACGGTGGTAATTAAGATATATATAGTAAGATGACCTTGTTTTTTATAATGGAAGGTAGTCGTAAATTTGATTGTACCTAATATATTTTAATTATACCGAGAGTGTGATATTAATTGTAACTTAATGTTATGTTATGTGATATATGATGACGTTCAATCGACTGGGCAGGAGGCCAATTAGACTGGAAAATGTGTATATGTATGTGACTTGTTCGAGAGTTACAATTTGTAACTGTGATGAATGTTAAATAAAATTATTATTATTATTATTATTATTAACATTACTTCCCCTTGCAATCTGTTCATAGACTTTGTCTGATCTTTAACAAATTACTTCAGTAAGAAATTACAAGATTACAAGCAGTAGAAATGCAGTTTCAGTGGAGTTCTATGAAATGAACAAGCAGGAAAAAGATATGAAACCACAATGAACACAAGACCTAAAGATGGACAAAATAACAAAAACTGATGATGACTCATGAGACCAAGTAAGAGTCGAGGAAAAGAATGGGAGATATGAAAAAGAACAGGAAACAAGCAAACACACATACAAGAGAAGCAGTATTTGTCTTATAACCTGATACATATTTCAATGGATGGTATTAAAACTATGCCTTCTGCTGTTTACCATTTGGTTACATTCCTCAAATCGGTGTGTTAAACACAATTCAAAATATGTACAATCATAAGATAAAAAGAAGGAGAATTTAAACCTTCAGTTTCTTCATCTTCAAGTTCAATATCACTAGCTGAATCATCAGGATAATCAACAATAAGTTTGCTGCGCTCCAAGTTTGAAAGCTTCAGAGCAGAATCAGCCTGGATGCAGGCCGCTCTCCATTTGTCTTTATCTTTAGTCGGAGCTAACATTTTCACTCCATCTACGTATCTCTCCATACACCTATAAAATGACACAGACTTTCACTAAAATAGATACAGCAGGAACTACAACAGCATAAATGTTTATTTTTAGAGCACAATGCCCAGGTATTCATACCTGTTTAACTGACAAAATGTTTTACATTACAGAAGAAATATTTCCCAAATAAAGCCAAATTTATTGACATGTAGTCAGTCTACTTCCAATAAAATTATGTAAAATCTGAAGATTACTGTCTTCTCACATGTGACCCCCTGCAATCTTGTAAATTGTTAATGTTTCAGGGGAACCTGTTGCCTCCATCTTCAGGAGACACTAATTGTCATGGATTCCAGTATTTCTTTCCCCCCTTAAGCTATCTCTGTAGCAGGCCATGGAGGCACATTGGTTTGTGAGATGTTGAGGCTCCTACATTTTCTAGACAATTGGCTCAAAAATGGAGGTGAAGTTGCCAGTCTTATGCACCAGCAGCCCTTTACCCCAAGGAAGATTTGTTGACCCTTCATAATAAGCTACTTAGCTCATACTTAACACATCCCATTTAAATTAAAATTTCAACATAAATTCTGATTTTACTGTAAGATTACCACCAGTAGACACTTTATATTTATGCTTACTTTTTGTGAATCCATGCTCTTGTAGGTGGATCATCAAAAAACTGCACATGAATGTCATTTCCTTTAACATGAATTTTTTGTTTTGGATGTTCACAGACCAAACTTGGCCACCAAGGGTAACCATCTAACTTTGACCAAACTATATCATACACACCAAACTCTGAAAACAAAAATACACAACAGATAGAATGAAGCAGTTCTAGTACTGAATTTGCACTAAAATTTTGGGAACAAGTATTGACAACACCCTGTCTTGGAAGAATCATATTACTGCGTAATCATCAAGATTAAATAAGGCCTGTTTTGCAATAAAGCCCTTTATATCACTAGATTCAATAAAGATGATTTACTACTCTTATGTACATTTGATACTGAAGTATGGCATTATCCTTTGGGGTAATGCCCCCCTTAGTATGAGTATCTCTAAAATTCAAAAAAGAATCATAAGTTATGTCTGGTTTGGGCAAACTTGATTCATGTCGGGATCTGCTCAAAATTTACAAATATTGCCACTCCAGTCTCAATATATTTTTTCCTTGCTTCTTTTCATTATTAAGAATAAAAATTACTTTACATCTAACACGGATATTCATGATATTAATAACCGCTATAATTATAATCAATGACAACAGAGCAAATAAAAAAGTAATGGTAGAAGGGATATGGGTAGATTTTAAAACCACAATAATTACAGAAGCCGAGAGGAATCTGGGATATCAAGAGAAACAGGATAATAGAGAATGGTTCGACGAGGAATGTAGTGAGAGTATAAACCTCAAGAATAAGAAATATATGAAAGGACCAACAAGAGCAAGAAATGAGGCGTATAAAGAAGCAAGGAAAGTAGACAAGATCTGTAGGAAAAAGAAAGGGCCTTTCTAAATGAGCAATTACTGCAAATTGAAGAAGACTTTAAAAATAACAAAACAAAAAATGCCTTTGGTCGAATCAAATATATGAAAGAAGGTTTCAAACCCAAAACAGAATTTATCCGAGACAAAAAAGGGCTTCTAATAAATAATAAAACAGAGATTATGAATACATGGAAAGAATATTTTGAACATTAAATCAAAATCAGAATATGGAAGATAACGAGGACAATGAAGAAGAAAATACAGATGAAGAAGAAGGGGAAGAGGAAGAGATAATAGAGCCCCCAACAAAGGAAGAAGTGGAAGAAGCATTAAAGGAACAAAAACTAAATAAAGCACCAGGAGGAGATAACATACCAGCAGAATTATTGAAGGTAGGTGGACAAGAAGGAATAATAGCACTCCACAGAATTATAAATAAAGTGTGGGAAGAAGAAAAGATACCAGAAGATTGGGGAAAGAGCATTATATGTCCCATATTTAAAAAGGGGGCTAAATTAACATGTAGTAACTATAGAGGTAGATCATTAGTACCGACAGCATATAAAATTTTAACAAGGATATTAAAAAAAGAGACTGGATCCGTATATAGAAAAAATAATAGGAGAATATCAATCAGGATTTCGACCCAATAGGTCAACAATAGACAATTTATTCACCCTGAGACAAATAATGGAGAAATGTCCACGGCCTCTTCCAAAACAGTTTCTCCACTTAATGCGATCTTCTGTTTTTGGAAAGAGACTATCCAGGAATAGTGATAATGTGGTAGTTTTTCCATTTGCTTTCCACATCAAACAAGCATATGATACAATAATAAGGAAGAAATTAAGGATGATTATGTCCACTTTTGGTATTCCAACAAAACTAAGTAGAATAATTAACTTAACTATGATATAAACAATCAATCAAGTTAAAATCCAGAACCAGTTAATGGAATGCTTGAAGACAAATCAAGGATTAAAACAGGGAGATAGTGTGGCACCATCACTATTTAGTTTGGTATTGGAATATATAGTGGGGAAATGTAATGTAGACACAAGGAACACAACAGCGTATAAACAAACGCAAATAATGGCGTATGCGGATGATATTATTATAGTATCGAGATCCCTAAGAGCAATGAAGGAGACATATAATGAAATAAAAACCATAGCAAAAACAACTGGCTTAGAGGTGAATGCAAATAAAACTAAAATGCTGATACAATCCAGAAGAAATCCAAGGCAAACTGGAGAAATTAACATGGAAGGGAACAGGATAGAAATAGTTGAACACTTCATATATTTAGGATCAAAATTCCACAAAGATGGAGAGGAAATTCATGAAATAACAAGAAGAATAAAACTAGCGAATAATGCATATTTCTCATTACTATCACTTTTTAGATCAAAGGATATACACTGAGCGATTAAAACAAAAATATATAAAACAATGATAAGACTGGTGATTTATAATGGATGTGAGGGTTGGACGCTAAACAAGAAAGAGGAATCAGTCATCAATTCATTCAAGAGGAAAATCCTAAGACGACTTTATGGACCAATAAGAGAGAATGGGATATGGAGAATAAGATACAATAAAGAGTTATACAAATTATATAAGGAGCCAGAGATCTCAGTGACAATAAAGCTAAAAAGATTGTGATGGGCTGGGCATGTACAGAGAATGGATAAGGAGCGTATCCCAAAGAAAATATTATATAGTACAACAGGTGGCAGGAGACGTTCTGGGAAACCAAGAACTAGATGGATTGATGCGGCGGAAGAAGAGGCGAAGAAGTGAATGGGTGTAAGGAACCGGAAGAGAGCAGCACAGGACAGAGAGGAATGGAGGGGCTTGGTAAGGGGGCCAAGGCCCGACATCGGGCTGTTGCACTAAAGAAGAAGATAATTATAATTTATACTTTTTTTTTTCCTTGGCACTACAGCCCCAGTGGGCCTAGGCCTACCTTCATGAACTTCTCTGTTCACTTCGGTTTTTTAGATCTTACACATTCGNACTACAGCCCCAGTGGGCCTAGGCCTACCTCCATGAACTTCTCCGGTAATTTATACTTAGCCTCTACAAATTTATCAATAGTACAAAAAGGAGTGCTGTTCTCTGGAAGCAAGATTTATAATCACTTACTTTTGAATATTAAATTATCTAAAGACATTAAGGAATTCAAATCTTTATTGAGAAGTTATCTCACTGATCATGCATTTTATAGCATTGATGAATTTTACAAAACAACTTCCCAATGAATACCTTTTACATTATTTAGTTAATAGTTGTAATTTACTTTTATTACCATATTTGTATTAATTCTATGTAAAATTGTTTCAGATGGCTACTGTAAGATTTATGACATATATGAGATTTTTTTTAATGCTAGTGGGGTGGGACTAAATCCCTTGGACTGCGGCCACTTCTGGCCTATTGTACCAGCCCCAGATGATAGGTGAGGGTGATTGTGAAGCAATTGATGGAATTACAACTGGCAGGGGAAACCGAAGTACTGGGAGAAAACCTGCCCCAGCGCCACTTTGTCCACCACAAATCCCACTTGACCAGACCCGGGACACTGCGGTGGGAAGCCAGCGACTAACCACTTGAGCTATTAGTTACTATAGGATTCTGACGATGGTGTATAACACACTGATATATTGGGTTTCTGGACTTTATCCATCGTCCTGGTTTTTAAGATAACAAATAAAAACACGACGTTTCGGTGATTGAGGCTAGCTCTTTCTAACGGACCCAACAGAATAGGTGTTTCCCTTTTCCTTCACCTGAGGACGGAAACAGATCCAGTTTCCGAAACGTCGTGTTTTTATTTGTTATCTTAAAAACCAGGACGATGGATAAAGTCCAGAAACCCAATATATCAGTGCACTTGAGCTATGGCGCAGCCCTATATGAGATTTACTGTTATACTATTGTTTTATATTTATAAAGACAGTTTCTATATCCTATAGGTCATCTGACCATTTGGATTAATGGAATGTAATTAAATAATAATAAATAATAATATTTAAGCTAAGATCTTAATAAGGTATTACTGTCAAGTTGATGCATCCTACATGTTTGTTAAATTACTGAATTATGTATAATTATTGTTTCTTTTATGAATGTAGTTGTAAGGTGACTAGTTTTGTGTTTAGAACTAATGTATGCATATGTGACATGTTCTATATCTGATGGCTTTAGTAGCCAGTAGGGATCTCTGGAATTAAAATGAAGATACAGACACATATAAGTTATACCATCTGGTTCTAGAACTAGTGTCAGTAAATAAAACCTAAATTTGTTGGCAGGTTACATCTGGAAGGTAATCGTACCCTGAAGTACATAACAGGTACAAGTGGTTACCAAACCCTCATTATAAGTTATCTGCATATGATGTATCTACAAAACCAAACTCCAGTGACATATATTGAACTACAGGACATTCAACCATTGACTCATTCTGCTATCGGCAGGTACAGCAGCAATCTGTTTCTCCCGCCCAGCAGTATTGCGAAGTTTCCTCGTTGGTTGAACACATTGTATATCAGGGTAAGAAATGATGCTAACAGCATAAGAAGCAACAGCAGTTTATATCAGTCCCACAAGAACTAGACCTCTTATGGTTAAGTTAGATTAGGGTACCTCAGTTTATTCCAGTTTTGTATAGCCTTATTTCACATGTAGTTAATCTGGATGCAGTCTGCTATTATCACTTCTGTGAAGCTTTTCCTTATATTTATGCCACTGTAGCAACAAAGTCATTAGCATTAAGCCCATTGATTCTCTGACAATATAACACACAAGTGTGTACACACAAAAGATGCTACATGAAGCATCACTGTCCCATATATTTTCCACTATCCACATCCTGTAGATCAGTGTTTCCCAACCTGTGGTCCGCGGGATAGTTTATTTTCATTAAACTTTATCTTATCATGTTCCTCACACCTGGGATATTTGCAATGTATATCTCTGGCTCTTGAGGCCCATGATTGAAGTAAAATTTAACGGGACTGTTGGTACCGTTACTTCTTCCCTTTGTAAAGCAGAGGTGAATAACCAACGATTTGTGTAGCTTTTTCCAAGGACATTTTCTTTTGGTCGGCCCATTGCATCTCAGACCCATGTTTCAGGGTGGACTGCTGTCCTAGTACCTGCTGTCCGACCATTCTCCCCTCCTCCCCCACCAAATCCATCCTTCTTTGGTTGGGAATAAACCTGTGACCATTGACCACGTTTCTTATTCATTTTAGTGGCAGAGCGAACAACCCGTGTTTCTTTAGTTTTTGTGCAGTGAATTTTTATAATACAGTAGAACTTGGTTATAACGTCATCAAAGGGACCTAAAAATAGTGTCGTTATAAACGAATGTCGTTGTAACCGAAATGGGCACTTCCACAGTAGCCTTATGTTAGTCACGTAAAAATCTACCAAAAAC